TATAGATATAGATATATATATATATATATATATATATATATATATATATATATATATATATATATATATATATATATATATATATATATATATATATATATATATATATATATATATATATATATATATATATATATATATATATATATATATATATATATATATAGCTTGTAAATGCATTGTTTAAAATGTAGCATATGTGAATATTACTTGGTCTAAGTTTATTCTTCATCTCTCTCTCTCTCTCTCTCTCTCTCACTCTCTCTCTCTCTCTCTCACTCTCTCTCTCTCTCTAAAAATATATATACAACTGTGTATGATATGGTTATTTCATTATTAGTATATATATATATATTGGTTAAGTATTTATATATGTATATATGTATTGATTTTATTAAGCTGCTCTTAAACAGATTCACCTATAAATGTTTGTTTGTGTGTGTGTGTGTGTGCGTGCGTGCGTGTGCGTGTGTGTACATACTACAATCTATTATTATTTTTAAACTAAATTTTTATGAAAATTATTTTTTACCATTCTAGAGATATCTATTTTAATGTTATGTGTGTGGTTTATTGCGGGTTGGTATGATATAATATAAGATATGATATGATATGATACATGTGAGAGAGATTGTTTTTTAAAGACAAAACTTGTTTTTGATGGAGAGCTGAGTATGACATTTTTTAACTCAGCCTCAGTGATACATGATATGATATAAGATATGATATAAGGTATGGCATGATATGATATGATGTGATTTAATGTAGTGTGGCTGATGCGATAGAGAATGATAGAAAGAATTAAATAGTTTATTGGAATAAGATCTATGTATTTTAACATTTATTTAGTCAGTCAGTGGGTTATTTATTTAGCTAGGTGTATGTTGCGCATGGTTTTGTTGAAGGGATGATGCTTCCAAGCGGTTTCTGAACACTTGACTGACGACTGATGTGATAGTTTCAACTTTTGAATCAAGTGGCGATGACTTCCAAGTCTTGGCCGCTAATGTTGCTGCTGCTGCTGCTACTGGAAACATCTTGCGGCAAGAGGGGAGGCTTTGTTTAAAGGAGGGTAGAGAAGATCTCCGTGTATTTTTTTTACTGATCTCGGTCGACTTTGTGTGCGCGCGCGCGCGCGTGTGTGTGTGTGTGAAGAGAGAGAGAGAGATTGTTTTTTAAAGACAAAACTCAACTCGATCAACGAATGAACAAACGAGTTATGCGTTAAAAAATAAAAAACATTTAAACCGGCTAAAATCAATACAACGAATTTTCAATACATTTCAAATTATAGCGATTTCATTTTTTTTTATTTTTTTTATTATTATATAAAATATTATATAAATTTATTATATTATATTCTTCGTTATTATAGTTCCATTTTACAACGAGTTATTGCATATATAAATCCCTCCATACATTAGTTCATCATGATCGTCATACATATAGGTATCTCATTGCTTATTCTCCTAATGGTATTTAACATTCCCATCCCATGTGTGTGTGTATATATATATATATATATATATACATATATATATATATATATATATATATATATCCTATTTATATCCCTTGTATTATCCGTGTATATTTCTCTATCTCTCTCTTTCTAAATATATCTATATTATATGTATGTATGTATAAAAGTTTAGTTTTATGTTTATTTTTGGATGAGGTACTATATAATCTACTTATAATTAATAAATGTATAATCAGTTGGATATATATATATATATATTTAACGTGTTATTAACATCAATACTAGTAAACTAATGTATGTTTAATACGCTGCTGCTGTATTAATGACGTCATCTTTATTTAGCATAGATGTAAAAGCTGATTTATTTCGTATCTTTGATTTATCTGTAGTGTTAAGTAACGTTAAACTTTTTATTGAGGCGCTATTTCAAGACAATTTAATCAATACTGATATAAATATGCGTTGTTTGTGTGTGTGTGTGTGTGTGTGTCTAATTAATAACTTTAATGGCTTTTTCTTTTTATTATTCTAAAATGCAGTTCTTTATTATACATACTTAAGTATATATGTAATTGATTAACGATAAAAATAATAATTATTGATGCTTTAATTATAGTTTTGTTACGACGATAATATTATTTTAATCTTTCATATTTAGATTTATTAATACTCTCTCTCTCTTTATTTATTTCTTTTTTTCTTTCTCTCTTTCTTTCTCCCTTTCTTTCTCTCTTATCATGGACCAATAAGATTACAGAGTTTTTTTTTTCATTTATTTTTTGATATACAGCTACATATATCGTTTAGAATTATTCATTTATTATTCTTATTATTATTGCAATATTTATATATATGCTTGCTTGTCTGTGTGCGTGTGTGTGTGGTGGGCGTCATTTTTTTTACATTGCAACTCAAGTAGTTAGTTATAGGACGATGATTTGATGATATTATCACATGACTATGGTAGTATGATACAAATATGATATGATGTGATCTTGCGATTCTCTGATATATGATTGTATAATATGAAGTGATATATGAATGATACCAAGATAATATGAAATGATATTGACATTACAGGAGAATAATGATGATTGATGATAATGGAATGCGATACTATCACGTTTAAAATGATATCCTATTATGTGATATATTATTACATCATGAGAAGATAAGATGATATACGAAATGATGGTTGGATGATAACGAGATGATTATCTTATATACGGCTGATGATATGTGAATGGTAGAGTGTGATGATTGAATGAAGATGATAGTGATTGTGATGATAGAATATAAATGAAATGAAAATGATAGTGTGTATCATATACTATGATATATCAGATGGAAATGATATTGCTATATAAAGATATTATATAATATGAAATGATCATGGTGTGATATGACAGGATGTAAATATAAAAGAGGATAGTGATATCAAATTATGATAGCGTTGTGATGATATATATATCTAAAGTTGGACGTTTCGTTTTTGCTGGAAAATTTCAATATGACAAATGAAATTGTAACATGTTTTGTGAAAAGATTTTTATATTTATATATACAGAAAATATTTTTCGTCTTAATCTTTTAAATAAATTATTAAACTAACTATTATATGTGTCTGGCTTTCTTGTTATATTTCAATTCCAGGTGATAATAATAATAAATTAGTTATTTTTGTACAGTGTTGTATGTCCGTAAGTGTATGTGTGCATGTTGGTGCGTATGTGTCTATATTTGTATCAATTTTCGTCACTGTTGTCTACTAGCTAGATTGCATATGCTAGATGGAGACGAAGAAGATGATGTATGTACGGAGTGTGTGTGTACGTATTTATGTATGTACGCTACTAATTATGTAGTATGCGTATACCTTCCAGCTATTTCTCTGCTATCATTTATTTCCATAAGTTAGACATTGAATACCTTCTATTTATTTACATACTATTCAGTGGCTATACAAAGTTTACAATACCTTATCTGGT